GTTTCAAAGGCTTTCTACAACTTTTTCTAATAAAGTCCTTATGGGGTGATCAAAAAATGTGTGGGTAAAATTCCTATAACCATGGGTTTAAGTTTTGGCATTAAAGATTAAAAATCACTGCTGTTGTTTTCAATAAAATTCTTTAAAGAAAGAGTTTTGCAGGTTTTGCATCACCCAGACTATAGCTAGAAAAATTACAATCCCTGGTAATTTTCCTATCCATAATACTCATAAAGATTTTTAAATGAACCTAACAGATATAGATCAATTGCGACATCTATCCTTTAAAAAGTTGAAATATAGATTGATAAGATTTCAAGTTACATTTAATTCCTGTTTAGAATTAATAGGGTGTTTTTGAATTTAATTGAAATTAACTGAACCTAATCAAACTGAATTAAATCAAACCAAACCAAACTGAATTGCATTACATAAAATTTAATAAAAGTGAATTAAAATAAACTGAAGTAAACTGCATAAAATGAGATGAAGTTAACTTGAATTGCTCAAGTAAAAGCAAACACTTGGCTACTTTTTTTGATTGGTGATGCTTCTAGTAAGTTGTCATTAAATGTGAATTACTCAAAATTTATGTTAGTTTTTATTGAGATACCGATTTTTAAGAAAGTGCACAATGCATTGTCACTTTTTCAGTTACCTTATACAGCTGGACAACAAAAAGCTGCTCCATAAAGGTTTTAGAATTAGTGTGTAACACTGAGCCTTCACAGACTAGAATGATGACAATAAATTAATAGATGAACAAAGCATAACAAACATAAGAAAAAAAATTAAGAGGATATTAACAAGAAGAGTGAAATATTTCTCTTGATTTGTAATCCTCTTTCAGTATATCTGTGATGGGTGCCTACAGGATCCCTAATGTGAGTAAAAGGAGGATGTTGTGAAATAATGAAGCAAAACTTTGAAATCTGTTGTGATAAGATGGATTAGTGGAAAATAATTTACTAATCTGTTATTTGCAGTCAATTGGTTTGCAACTACTTTGTTGTGTTTGATTTTTCTACATAGTAAATAAATAATCTTCGATAATAAAAAAATGTTTTATAAGCATTGATATTTATGGAATAAAACAATAGTAATTGACTCCTTCTTTAATATAGAAGAGAGTTCTAAGTTTAGCTGACTTATCGTCAGATGGGACATTTGCATCCAGCTGGCTGTGAGCCATAGATGCTGATATGACCCATCTGTTGGAAACTGTCAGCTGCTCATTCACGTCATTACAAGGGGTGGTTAGGGCAAACCCAGTCACTGGGGGAGTATTAGATGGGTTCAAACGGAAGTCTTCCAGTGTCACCCAGGCCAAAAAGTTATCCAGAACTCCCCCAGAAAGAAACAGAAAGATGCATTATTTCCCTCAAGTATGGGAAACTTTGTAAAGGGGAAAACACGAACAACAAATTATTTTTTTGTGATCATAAGTGTACTTCTGTCATTGTGTTAACATTTTTGCTTAACATTTCAAACAACAAACTGCATAAAACACAGAACAGATTAGGATGGTTTACTTCAACTTCAAAGTATAGAGAAAGTGGTTACAGTTGATGGGAGCATTATTGGAGCTAAATGCAGGACAATCCTTGAATTAAAATGCTTATAGGTTACAAAAGACTTTAGACCCACCTCTTAAACAAACAACTAATATATGAAAAAAGAAACTTCCAAAGATCCAAATGTCCAAGTGTTGAAGAGGCCAAGTCCAAGTAGGACTTTAACCCAAATAAGAATTTGGTCAAGCTTTTCAAATTCATGTTCACAATGCTACCTATCCAATCTTATTAAGCCCAAGCTACTTATGAAGACAGAAGAGAAAAAATTCAGTCACCAAGACAGCATAGCTGGAACAGTCTTAATTTTTAAAACATAATTATTCCACTGTTAATGTTGCAGTGCTTGTGTAATTTATAAATACACGTTTATATAAATACCCATTTAATACCCTGTGCAATAATCTTGTATAATTATTCTGTCAAATACAAGACTTCAGATGTTATAGTATATAACAGCTGTTATAGTATATAACATATAGTATATATATATATATACAATAAGAGTTTTCTTTATTTTCGTGACTATGAAAATTGTAGATTCACACTGAAGGCATCACATTTATGAATTTACACATGTGGAATTATATACTTAACAAAAAATGAAAACATGTATTATATTCTAGGTTCTTCTAAGTAGCAACCTTTCGGTTTCGTTAACTATACCAAGAGCCAAAGTAAGTACACTTTACTGCTGCCAATGCTTGTAGCAGCTATTTTGAATGCAGGCTGGAGGGAATGGTTGGGTTGCATTGATTTCCCTACTAATTCTGACTTTTAGGGTATTGTGCTAAAAATGTCAATTTTTGAAGTTTGAAATTCCAACTCCTTTAGAAATTAGATGAATCAAAATATCACTTTCTTACTGGATCACAATTAAAAGTAGTAGTAAAGATAACCCAGCAGCAAGCATAATAAAGAACTGTTGGGAATATTCCAAAATTTAAAAGAAATGGTTTTGTCTGGACAGGAAATGAATGTGCAAATTTGTGCAGCACTTTGTGACCCTGGTCTGTGAAAAGTGCTATAGAAATAAAGTTTACTTACTTACTTTACTTACAAGTTAGATGATGAGAAATTCTCTAAAAATAAAGCTATTAGCACAGCGCCAGCATGGTTGTTTCCAGATTAGATGTTGACTTAAAAATACAGGAAATTAGAAGATATTGGAAATATAACGAATTTGGGGTTAAAACTTATATATGATCTTATATCGTAGGCAATTGTATATAGTTATTTAAGAACTTACACAGATAGTTCACAAAATTCAAAAATAAATGTGGCAATAGGGAAATACATTCAAGAGTTTAATATATTTGTAAATGATTATCGGAACTTCTGTCTGAACACACAGTAGAAATGGTAGCAATAATGATCAGTTTACAGTGGGTGGAGGAGATTATACCGGACAGGATGGTGATATGCACAGATTCAAAAGCAGCAATAGAAAGCTTTCATACAAAAAGAAACTATAGGAAAGATGTCTTAGAAACTCAACAGAGTTTATTCAGGTTATTTAGATATGGAATAGGAATTCAGTTCTGTTGGGTACCAGCACATGAAAGGGTGAGAGGAAATGAAACAGCAGATAAGTTGGCTTAAAAGGGAAAGCAGATTACTGCTCATATGCCATTTGGGAAAGGGGAAGGTAAATCAATAATTAAAAAGAAAGAAATAGAACGATGGAAAAAAATATAAGATGAAGATGACAAAGGAAAAAGTGTATATAGTTCAACCATCAGTAATATTTAAAGGCTATTGAGAAAGAAGCAGGACGGAAGAGATCATTTCCGCTAGACTAAGAACTGGTGACACATACTTTAATGAGTTTTTGTTTATACATGGGAAGAGAAATAATGATTTATGTGAGGGTTGTGGAAGAGAAGAAAATGTAGACCATGTTTTGATGCTTTTCTATGACAGAAAGAGAGAGGATGAGGGAAGTAATTAGGGAAAAGGGAGAGAATGGAGTATTAAAGGAAATTCAGGGTAATTAATAAAGCGTATTATTTTTATTTTTACACAACTCAAAATAAAAAAAATGGTAGATGGAACTTTAATAGCTGCATAATCCTGTACAATAGATGGTGGTATGCACCTATTAGTTGTTTGCAATCAGCCACTCAAAGGAAGGAAGAAGAAGAACTATACAAAGTTATGGGAAGAAGAAAAGAAAGGAATGTGGTTCTATAAAATCTAAAAGAGAATTGGACAAATAAGAACAAAAAGGAACAGAACAGAAGAGATAATTATTTCCCGACTTAGAATAGGACATACAGGATTGAATAGGTCATTATTTTTTAAACATCAGACAGAAATGTGACTGTGGGGAAGATGAGACAGTGGGATATGTTGAGATGTAGGAAATATTTGATTCCGGGAAAAAAGTTAATTAGGAAACTTAGTAATATGAAAATGAACCGTGACAATGTTGAATTACTGCTAAAGGAATCAGGAAGCAGAGGATATACTGCTTAAATTGTATAACAGAATATGTTTGTTTTTTTTGTTATTTGCCATGTGGCCCACACTCCTTACCAGTTGGTGGCGGTAATGCTCACCTAACGTTTTTGCCAACCCCCATAAAAAAATCTCAAGAAGAAGAACGATACAAAGAAATATGGCGGCCGTCTCTCAACCGAGGATGGAGAAAGACGACGAAGACTCTTCTCTGTTGCCTTTAGTTCATGATATTATCAAGTGGTAAGAGCAAAGTGAAAAGAACAGTGTGCTGTAATGCACTTATGTACTTGTTTAGACCTTTCTAGCGGCGTTACTCAGCATGCTTATGATCTGTTAGCTAAAGCTATCTTACCTCTGAGATGGAAAGGAAAAAGGAATTATCATTGAGGTACAGACATGTATTCTGGACTTAAGTAGAGTCTTTTCTATTGGGTTTAAATACATCTAGCCAAATAGAGATAGCTTGTTTTAGTCTGATTGTCCTGGCGCTTCATAAACAAACCATCGAGAAGTATCAGAGCTGCTCAGCAGAGCATAAACCTCAGCATTGGAATGCTGTGGCAATATGAGAATATAACCCAAATAAACACATTATAAACGGTGGTAACAGTTTGCTGCTTTCAGTCTATTCAATACATTGATCTGGGATAATGGCCCTTGTCATGTCAACCAAAAACAATTTTTTTTTTTTTTATTGAAAACATTCATGTGACTGAAGCAGCTGTGCAGTGCAGTTTCTTATCAGTCAACCAAAACACTTGGAAGACTATTTAAACTAGTTATCTGAATATTAATCAGCAAAACTCACAAAACATTGCTGATGTTTGCACGGCTGCATGGTATGATCAGCTAATATTTATTACTATTAATACTTCTTTGTGCTCATAATACTCTTAACAATTGAAATGTAGATATATTTACTATGTTATGTTTTGTAAACTATTATGCTTTAAATTTTGTTGTTGTTGCTGCTCAAATATCATAGGTTTCTGAAATATTAGTGAAGAAATTACTTTAAACCACCTGGCAAGAACATTGACTAAAAGCTTTCCTTTCTTTTTATACTTCAAAATTTTGAAATATATCCCTATTAGGGCTGAAACTAATGGTTATTTTGCAAATAATCGGTGGATTACTTTTTGATTAATCAATTAATAATCGGATAGCCAAAGGCTCCTCAATAAGAGTTTTTGTTCAATTCAGCCAGGTGAAACTAAAACTTTTGCACTTGAGGAGATCTGGATAGGGCATATTGAAAAGGTTTTTATCTAAATGATATTTATTCATTTATTTTTTGCAATTCTTGTATAATTACTGATCTGTCAGCTAAAGTGTCTCTAAAGTGTTTTAGTGTCTCTACACTTCGGTAAGCGATTAATCGATTACTAAATTGGATGACGATTATTTCAGTAATCAGTTAATCACGATTAATCCAATTGCAAATTGAATTATCTGTCGGGTTTTTTTAAATGAATGATAATATAGCAAAAGTTTCCTTAAAGAAAGAAGAATTTTTACAGAATTAAATCAAGGTGAAACAAACTTTTCCACTTGAGGAGTTCTGGATAAAGCATATTGACACACAAAGTTGTTTTGTCATGACTTTAACACGTAATTTAGAAAATGTACTTATAAAAAAATGTCTGCAATTATTTGCGGTTTTAAAATTAAAAAGTGCTGGCAGTTAAAAAGGAACTAGGACCAAGATTGTGAGTAACTGGCTAAAGGAGAAACTGTAGCCTTAGTGGCCTAAATGTTTCAATTTCACTAAATGCTGCACATTGAATAGCAATTTTTAAGCTCCTAAAAGCAATACTTTTTGCAGAGCTGAAGTGTCAAAGTTTACCAGTGTTAGAAGTAAAATTTATCTTCTGTTTAAAGGCAATATTGTATATTGTATGTCTTTTTGCTATATATATATATATATATATATATATATATATATATATATATATATATATATATATATACCATATTTACAGGAAGAAACTGTGCTATAAACAAGTTAATGTATGTTTATAATTCTATAGACTTAGTTTTTCACAGAAAGTTTTTGAAATATCAGGGTTTTCTAAAAAAAAAAAAAAAGAATAAAATCTACATTTTAAACAATGTAATGGTTGATTACTGTAATAGTTGGATTAAAAACATTTAAATGTGGATACATTTCACATGTTTACCATGTAGGGCTGTAACTAACGATTATTTTAATAATCTGTCGATTTTTTTTTTTTCTTTTTCTGATTAATAATCGGATAGTAAAAAGTTCCTTGAAGAAGACTTTTTATGAAATTAAACCAGGTGAAACTAAAACTTTTATACTTGAGGAGTTCTGGATAGAGAATATTGACAGACGAAAAAGTTTATTTATTTATTTATTTATTTATTTTTAATCTTAAATGCAATATGTTTATATATATTTTATAATCTTGGTATAACAACTGCAGTAAGTGGGTCGCTCTGTCAGCTAAAGGCATGTTTTAAAGTCTCTATTCTATATGTTGATTAAACAACTAGAATAGCAAAATAACATTCAGTGAATTAATTTGTCTTTAATTGTGTAAGTTTGCCCATTTATCCATATATATTTAGCTTGCAGATGAAAACACAAGAAAAAATAAATGTGAAGTTGATAGAGACAACAGCACTTTCACTACTGGTGCTTTTAAGCTGTCAGATTCACAGTAAATAAAACTTGTCTACGCTAAATATTTTTGATTAGGAATCCCTTTTGTAAATCCCTGATATGTCCAAGGTTTTGATACCTTCAGGATGTCTGGTGGTCTGAGGATAGATGTTGACATGTTACCCTGAAAAAATGTGCTTATGAGAACGAGGTTAAAAACACTGAGTTTTGCTTTGTTTTTATTTTTTTTAAGCATGGACAAGGACAAGGATGGGCAGGAAGTTCATCAAGAGCTGACAAAGCTGAAAACCAAAATCCAGAAAGCTCGGGAACAAATCTCCAACATGCCTGGAATAGACAGCAGTCCGCAAGAGCAGCAGCAGCAGCTCGCCACTCTGAGGGAGCAGGTGCACACCAAAAACCAACTGCTGCAGAAATACAAAAGCTTGTGCATGTTCGACGTACCCAAAGCATCATGACCCTTGGGGTTGGATACTTCAGTGACTGATGGGGAAACATCATACTGGTCAAGGACATGGCATAGACATGAATTTTCCAGCAATGCAAGATGTTGAGAATCATGTTTTTTTTGCATTCTTTTGTATGGGTTTGAGTGTAAACATATTGTTTTTCTTGTAATTATTATGTATTAAAATAATTTGCTAAACCTTACTTTTTTATGGTTTTAATTCTTCTCTGGCACTTCTTTAATTTAGAGTCAGTTTAAAGGGTAAATTAAAAGAAAGATGCTTAACGTTAAGGAAGGCATTAAACTTGTTTAGAAACAATTTTAAATCTCTGGACATTTTGTAGTTTTAATTCTGAAGATTTTAAGAAGACTGGAAAATATATAAACTTACTGTAAAGCATGGAATTAAATACAAGAGAAACAGGTTAGGAAAGTATGAAGTTTTATTTTTTCTTTATGCAAAAATATTGACAGACAAGATAAACATGTATTCATTTTGTTCAATCTGCTAAACAAACATTCAAAGTGTCATTCCATCTGTAAACGATGGCAAAATGTAAACATTTTTCCCTTTAATGCTGCTCTGAAAGAGACACTAATGTCACAGTCTTTTGAGAGCATCTGCTGCACCGTGCCTGGATCCCTATTTGCACTTAGGTTTTTTTTCTTATTTTTGGTCTGATTTCTGAAGGTCAGCTGAATATAGACATGCAACAGCTCCGGAAAGTTTCTTGCAAAGATATCAGCAAATAACACAGCCTTTCTCTTTGGCCTGGCCGCCTCCAATGGCTTTCTCTTTGATGTACATTAAGTCACTGTGCACGCTCGGTCTGCGCGCAAAAGGCGCAACTATCCCGTACGCGTTCCCATCCTTGCACCTCTTGCTCCTGAACGACTTTCTGTGCAAAACGTCGCAGTACTGCAGAGACACCTTGCAGTGTCGGTCTGGGCTCATCTCGTTGGGCAGCTTGGCCATGGTAAAAAGAGTCTGAAACATCTGGTCGACGTTTGTGTTCTTTTTTGCAGAGATCTCAAAGTACGCGCAGTTCTCGTCTCCGACCAGTTTCTCGATCTCTTCGTCCTGCACCTCTCTGTAAAAATCCCGGTCGCACTTGTTGCCGCAGATGACGAGCGGCACGTCCACTTTCTCCTTAGTTTTGTTGCGCAAACAGGACTTGGTTTCGTGGATTTGACGCTTCAGGCGCTGCACTTCTTGAAATGAGTCTCTGTTGTCCAAACTGAACACCAGGATAAAAACATCACCTGTTGAGACAAGAGAAAAAAAGTTTTAATATTTAATACACTGTAGAAAATTGATTTACAACAAATAAAGCGCGAAAATATTTACTTTTCTGTTTGTTTCTGAGCTAAACTCACCGGTTAGAATTGAAAGTCTCCTCATTGCAGGGAAAGGATGGTTTCCAGATGTATCAAGGATGTCCAGCTGGTAAACATCCCCTCTGATGCTGTAAAACTTTCTATGAAAGTCTTCAATAGTCGGTGTGTACTGGTCGTCAAATCTCTCGTTGAGAAACCGAGAGATGATGGCCGTCTTCCCAACTTTAGTGGAGCCGAGAATGACCATCCTGTGGCAATTCTTGGCCGGAATGTCGAAGTCGTTCTCGGATGGAGACATTTTCTTAATCATCGCTGCAGCGGGTTGCACCTGGTGTTCGGCGGTGCCTCGTCGGTGTGAGGAGAGTTTTTAGATCCAGTCAGTGATGGGGATAGTGAGAACACGCTCTGTCTGAAGGAAGAGGGGCTGCTGACGGAGAATTTATTGGGGAAGATCGCCGCGCCTCCATTGCGTCACGCGTCACCCTGGTGCGCCACAGGGAGCAGGAGCAGAGACCTGCAGTCAGAGCGCCTGGTTAGGCTGTGATAGTGCGTCAGTTTTTCACAGAAACTGGTCAGATCCAGGCTTATATCTCCATATGCTTGCAACTAAGTTAGAGTAGTATCAAAAAAATCTGTTTATTCCACATATTTATATATAATTAATTAGAAATGAATATCATTGCATTGAACTGATGATTAATTCGTAAAATTGGGTTTATTCTTGTGTAAAGAGAATTAACGTTTTCACTTAAGGCTAACGTGATCTTGCTGGAGGCTTGACAGCTGCCTTGAAAGTAGCCTCAGACATTCTCCACACATGAATATAAGATGCAATTTTTTAAATCTGTAAATAATCCTGTTGTTCAGAGAAAATAATTATCAAGACATATTTGTGGAAAGTTGAGTGGAAGGAAAAACGTTGTTGAAAAAAGTTCTACATATTTTATAGACATATTTTCAGTGGTATTTTAGTCATCGTTATTTAGCTATGTGAGATCAAAATTATACAGCCTCACTGAAAAAAAAAACCAAAAAAAAAGAAAAAAAGGCTTAAATTAAGTGTATTTACCCTTAATTTGAGTAGGTAAATGATATAGTTTGCCAATGGAATGAGTACTTTTACTCTTAAAATAAGATAATTAGATAACATACACTTGAAATAAGACAATGCAATTGTGTTTTTTTATTTTAAATGTAAATTGTCTTGTTTTATTGGCAAAGTGTCTCCTTTACCTCCTCAATCCAAGAACAAAGCACTTATTTTAAGAAAAAAATAACTAATGGATATTGATTTTTTTGCAGTGCTCACATGGGAATACTTGGTGGAGGAGCAACAGCTCCTACTGCAAGGGTTCACAAATATAAACTTTAACAGACATCTTGATTTAGCCCATAAATATCACTGTGATTCACAGATTGAAAAAATTGTTTGAAAAACTGTCACTCTTGTATGACATGAAGAATGTGTAAAATGTGTTTCTACTTCCTAATGTATTGTAGTGCTGGAGCTGGACAGAATATTAGGTACAAGTGGAAAAGCCACGCAGAGTATGACAGTTGCAGATGGTGTGTCTGTGCGCATCGTTTTCTTGTTGGAACTTCAATGTGTCAAGCATAAGTGAGCTTTTACGCCCCATGTAAGTCAGTCTGACTGGCCAGGTGAATTTTATACACCAACAGGTCACATCCATTACAATGATAGCCATGGACATAAGTAAAAATAAGCTTCTCAGTGTAACTGAAGAGTTTTTCATGGTTTTCCCATTTGGTGTGTCACCCTGAGCAGAAAACCAGGGTGCCCATTCAAAAAAAAAAAAAGCCCAGAATTAAAGCAAGCATTTTTTGAACCCTGATTGAACCTCAGATATTCTGACCTTTACATTGATTATAACGTATATCTTTGCTGCCTGGATAAAATGTGAAAATGTAAGCATAGTGCCAGTAAACATCACAGAGGATAAAAGGATGACAATAAATAAATAAAAAAAAAAAACCTCAGGAGAAGTCCAGCTGGCTGTAACTACTGCCTGCAAGACATTCAATCCAATCTGTATCGACTTTCTCATATGGCCTATTAATTAAGGGAGCCCAAGATAGAGCCTGCCGTTTGTGACTCAGGCTTTGCTCATCCATTTTGCCTGCTTTAAGGACTCATCACCTTTCACCTATCCTCTCATCTGGGAAGAAGAGAACGATTGCTGGTTAAAAGGAAAGCCTATAACACGATTCAAGTGTTGCCTGTGCTGCCACATGTGACAAACCTTCCTCTAGAACTCTGTTCTAAATTTTAAGTCAGATTTAACTCGCCACATTGCCTGTTTTTACCATTCCATTTACTCGGCTTCTACATGTGGGCTAGGACAGCATTTTAAAATCATATCGCATCCCTCAAAATTCCTCACAATTTTCTTGTTATAAAGCAAGATGTAGATTTTTTTTTTCAGGGCAACATGTTATGAACAAAAGTGGAATTAAAAAAAAATGCTGCTTGCACAATATGGAGTTGGCCTATTTTATTTTTTAAAGTTTTAAAACCTGTGCAATCTTTTATCATATTGAAGAAATACAAATGTCTATTAGGTCCACAATAAGGATTTTGCTCATTATAAAAATTCAACGCTAGTTTCATGTCAACCTTATGAAAATATTCTCTAAGGGCACAAAAAGAAAATTCTATATATATGTATATATATATATGTCTTTATTCAGAATGCATGAGTCGAAGACAACCTTAGCCATATGTCTCTGTGTTTATCTCATCAAATTTTGTGAAACCTCATACCCACCAATGGTGGTGACCTTTTTTAGCCTTTTGTGGGGCAACAGGTTGAAATCAGATAGGTATACACCTAAGCCAGGTTTGTTCGAAGTCTCAGCCAAGGATATGTGCTTGGACAGTGAGGTGAACCCGTGCTACATCACTGACTATTGGTTAGAAATGTAAGCCAGCTTTCTCTTAGAGTTGCATAAAACATATCACGTGCAGAATAACACCATTAGCATGACACCGCAAGGACCTGTTCTTAGAAACAGCAGTTTAGTTGGTCAGTATCAAAGTTTTAAATCTCCTTAGCATTAGCCTGGATGAAGCGTGGTAGAAGGCTTTTTAATGCATTTACCAAATTTGGATTCATCTGCAAACTTACACCTCTCACCTCCTGTACTGTGTCTTATTCTTTCTTCACTAACTGACCGTAGGATACCGTGTCCTCATTCTCAGTCACATGGAAAATGTTTTTTGTGCCCAAGTCAGTCTCTAGTCTGTTTTCATTGAGAGATGGACTTCTGCACACACACTATCCTGGCAACATGGTGCAGCAGAGTAAACATACGGGTGGCAGCCCCCCTCACGCCATGAACAATTATTCACATTATACAAATTTTCCTCTCACCAATGTTTGCTTTCGCCAATTAGTAGCAAAGACAGATAAGTTTTGAAAGAAAAAAAATAAAATATAAGTGGGGTTTGTGTATGAGGACAAAATGCTTCACAGCTCATGTGGAAACATGTTTGCTGTTTTTTGTTTGCCCCATCCTCACCCTCTCTTCAAAGCCAAGTTATTTTGGAAAATAAGTCAAACCAGTACGACTCTAATCAGAGGGGAATGTTCTGTTTGTTTGCTTCTTAATGTTTGCCTCTTACAGAGACAAATTTGGGAAATTATTTTAATCTATCATTAATTTTTATGTCCTTGATGCGGCTTTGGGATCCAGATGGTTATTTTTTATTTGCAGTCCAATTAAATATTTGCCTCCACAGCTGAGCTGCATTTTATCTAATAAAAGTGGGGTGGGTGTAATTAATGATCTAATGTAGAGTTAAGATGAAAAGCAGATTAAGGTTTGAACAGATCCTTTCTTCTGAGCAAAATGTTATCAGGAGGAAGCCAAAGTACCCAGGTAGAACAGACATACAGAGAAAAAGTAAAGCCTCCATGTAGAAAAACTCTAGACCAGGATTTGAACCTGAGACCTTCATGCAGAAAGGGAATTGTGCTACAGACTGTGACACAGTCAAAATAAGGTACTGTAATCCTGTCTGACAAAAAACAGTGATACCATTTGGTGCCAAAAAAGATGGAGGATTCCTCTTCAGAACAAACAGCTATGTTTCTGAAATCATGTCACCACATTTGTTTGTGATATTGGAAGCTTATATGTTCACTATTAGGACTGTGTTTGATGTTAAATATCCAATAATTGACCAATTAAAATTATCAGTATACAGGGACATTTGTTCATGACTATTTAGTTGTATTAAATCCAGTAGAAGATTATTAAAAAGTAATTTTTTCTAGTACTTATTTAACTTTAAGAAACACATATACCGTAGTAGTAAATTATACTCACAATAATGTGTTTTTAAGTCTTAATTTCTGTTAATTATAATAATAACAATAACATGACATGACATTTAAGAATACAATATCACATGAGCAAACATGAATATTTTTTCCCCCCAAAATATATCTGTTGGATTTTAATTAATTTTGTCCTTCCCCTTTATTAATTTTGCAATTACTTATCTCATTGTTTAGAAAATAGGCATACCTGTGCTAAGGGAACTTAATTTTTTTTTTTTTTTATCTTTTGTTCCTTTCTTCTCAAAGATTTGTTTATTTCAGATGATATATGTTGGTGTGATTGTTCCTGCATGCCCGTGAAGCTCTATTTTGGTTTTTGCATTACTGCAAAAACTGGAGATTTTCTACTGGTATCAGTTTCCTGAACCAGATATCTTGAAGAAAAGGCAAGTTGATATTCAAAGAACTACCGGTATTAGTGCCACGTATCAAGTGACAAAACATTAAGTCCTTTCCAAGAAGTAAAGTCAAACCAATGAGAAACCATTGGAAGTCAATAACCAACGAGAAACAGATTATTCTTTTTAAAAAATTAGATGTCAAACCTTTGCTCTAAAAATTTAAATTTGTCTCACACTTGCATCTACAAAAATATATATTTTTTAGCTGTATTTGTGCTCAGCAACTACAATTGTGATACAACGTTAAGAGTCAAAATAGAGGAATGAGGAGTTATCTGTCCGACAACATTGGTCATGTGCTTGTATTGTGACAACAGAGAAGAGAAAATTCTGAGAACTCTAGTTCCACATTGAAAGTCTAGAACTATCAGCTCTGAAATCTGCAGAGTCCGAGTAAAGCAGCTGATAGGGCCTGTCTGTGTTTCAGTGGGATTCTGGAGAAAACAGACCAGGCCACCTCATGGTGTGTTTACATGCCGTGTGCTCTCGGTCCGTTGCGTGTCATGCAAGGCCACGGTGCAGAGAATCCAATGAATGAAGCATGATGCTATGATTTCCAGAACAAAGGCCTAAAACGTCAGAGCCAATCAACTGACTGCCTGTAGTCGGGCTTTGGTTTGCCAAACAATTGA